AAGGAGGTAAATGGAAATGTATTATTGTATAGCAGCTGTCCACACGGACGCATCGCTCACTCAAGTAGGAGAGAGACAGATGTCGAACGCTGCCGAACGCGGAGGCCGATTGTGCCTCTTTGTCGCTCGTTCCGCGCTCTCGCTTGCACTTGAAGCCTTAAATGGAACGCCTCAGAGCGAGGTAATGCCGCATAAGTCATGTTTTTTCGTGCGTGCAGCCGGCTCCATCGAATTATAAGACGTTGTCACGTCAAAAACCTTGATGAATTTATAATTATTTTTTTATTTATTTTACTTTATCGAGTACTAGATTTTACTCGCGGCTTCGCTCGCGTTGATGTCTTAAATACATGTCAAAGATCATTGACGATCACATAAAACTAATTTTTCTATCCCTCGGGAACAGTATTTTTTTTCTAGATAAAAGGTACCCTATGTCCTTTTCTATACCCTTGACACCCCGACAATGTGTCTACAAAATTTCACGATCGTCAATTTAGTACTTAAGGAGTAAAATCGACCTTTTAAAAAATAATTTTTTCTATCCCTTGGAAACAATATTTTTCTGGATAAAAGGATAGGATTGGTTGAGTAGTTAAAGCGTGAAAAGCCGACAAACAAACTAACATTCGGATTTATAATGTAGGATGTACCCAAAAATCAGATTGTAATTCGCGTTTAACTTATTTTAAAACCTGTATGTAACCTAATTACTGTACTAAAATATGTTTACTTGTGTGCAGGGGCGCAACAAGGGGGAGGCTCCACGGGTGCCTGAGCAGCCACTCCATTGGGTTGGGCACCTAGTCAATTCCAGTCGATTCAGCTAATAACCCAACTTGAAAGTTCGGTTCAAATAGTTCAAGCTCGTAAATGAGCAGCCGAACTCGATCTTTTCAGCTTGTACACCCCCGCAGTATATAAATATTTATAGTATTATGATAGGAGCACCCAGTCAAACTGCAACGTTGTTGCGTCCCTGCTTGAGTGTGACATGTACAATATTTATATATCCACGAAGTAGCTAGCAATCGAGCAGAAATAGAGAACAAGTAAAACTTAGCAACTTTTTATTACTAAAGAATTTTTAAGATCTTTTTTTAGCATTTCCTAGAACCCTTACAGTTTCGATTTGGAATCCGGATATAGAGTGGCGACCCAAAAACNAACGTGACAACATCAGAAGAAAATACTGATGGAATGGTTTCATTTTTCAAAAGAAAATTTTAATTTTATTTGTTTGATAGATATTTTGTATGGATATAGAGGAGGTAAATAGATACGTACAAGTAACATATGCAAAAATAACAATGAGTTTAAGAACAATTATTATAGGTTATTATCTGTCTAATATCCAAAACTTCAACCATTATTAGTGATTTTCTTCAAAATAAACTTTTTTCAAACTTTTTCACAGGGAGTTAGACAGATACGAATTAAACAAATGATTTTGAAACTATAAGAGAAAATTAATAATTTTAAACTTGTGTCTCAAGTATAAAGTTATGTATTTGTCTTTTTTAAAGAAGTTCAACTTCAATATAATTTCAAAATAATTTATTTTATTCACAACTGAATTTAATACATATTGTTTTATTGAAACAGAATTGTAAATTGCTCACCCTTCTCGTGACATTTTTCCAAGAAAAGATCCCTTAATAGTTGATTGCCGTTAGAAACCAAAGGTACTCGATTTTCACTACTTTTTTTTTTCTATAATGAATAATTAATAAATTACTACATACCTCTCACTTTTAAAGTACATACATACCTGTTTTAGAGTAGAGAAAGGAAAACAAAGAAACATTGACGAATCACTGTGAAGATCATTCACAAAGTTTTTTGTTTATATTTTTAAAACAATAATAATGTTTACAGTTTTTGAGCTAATTAACAGAAGTGCCATATTCTAAGTGATATGTCTACACAGTGCAGAATAATCTCTATGTAGACCCTTGGGCAATCAAAACTCTTAGCCCCCTCGCAGATATTCTTGTAAAATAGATATGTTTTATGTTTTGAAAGGAGACAATCGAGATCCTCACCTTGCACTGGATGGAATTGCACATCACACTGATTATTAAGCACATAATTCGAGTTCCACAGGAGCATATGATAATAGGTACAGTGACTTGCTTAAGTAAAGCAAGTTGAAGATAATTTATAATGTTAAAACCACTGATAGTTTCAGACAGATCTCTATGTTCTCTATCACATAGATAATATGCCCGGTATATTTCGTTTCTAAGGATAGATAGGCCAGTCTCGATAGTCTCCTTTGATGTGATATTCTTTCAATATTGAATCAATATTATGGTGATCCTTTATCATGGGACCTTTCAAAGCTGTGGGGCTCATACATACGTTTGGTTGGGAAGTATGCACTGCGTCTATGAATTAAATGAAGTTTTCTGAAAACAGGCAACTAACATTTCCTTTACAGAGATCATCGATTTCTTCTTAATAATTCCTTTTCATGTTTTTATATTGCAATATTCAGATTTTCAGGACTAACAAGGGCATATTGTTTTCAACGAATATGATGAATTAGGTAACAAAAAACTTTCTTAGAGCTTTACATTTTGTGAGGAATTAACAATATCCTCTTTATTTCCCAAATGTTTGCTGACCAAAAATAATTAATTTCTGTCTAGACCAAAGTATTACATATGCAAGTACCTACTTATATAATACATATAATAATCTTGCACATTGGAATAAATCGCTACAGAACATTTTTTAACTTGTTTTGAACGATCTAGTTGTTAACTTTCTATTGCAAATACCTACAGTATTTTTAAAGCATTTGCTACAACATGCTTTTTATCGATATACTTTTGCCTGTGCAGTGCTTTAGTTCTGAATTTGGTTTTTTTTTCTAATACTTCATCGAAACCTACGTGTTTCACTTGACATTATGAAAATAATCTTTACAGCAGCCCTGTTACTGATTGTGAGTAAGAACAACCAGTGTACAACAAGATGGATAAGTTCTTACTCGTTTTAATCTATTGCAAACTTTAATAAGTATCATATGTCGGTTACTTGCGGATTTCGTACTTTAGTTTTCGACACGCTAGTCTCTTGACCAGCGTTGGCGTATAGCTATGGTTGCACGCTGGCTTTGGTCTCTTGAGCTGGTTTGGATTTTTTTGACAACGAATTGTATATCGGAAATTCGCAGCACATTATAAATTTTAGAAATTGGGGCACTTCCACATAAATTGATGGAGGTATTGGAATAAGTGGTGACGTGGAGGCCTTGTAGTAACGATATTCAGAAACACTAAAAGAAAGAAAACTTCATCAGAGTCGTTACAATCAAATATAGGGTATCTGATTGAAGAATAATGTCTATTTAAAAACAATCTATCTATCTGCACCCAAAAAATGGTACTTTCGACCTACGCTGATCCCAGGTACCACTTCCTGGCATATTCACCTTAAATGGAACAAGAATACTCAGATCGCATGTTTGACAATCTTCACTTCACCTTGGGTGGCAATACACCAATAAGTATGCGGTCTGGGATATTTTTTTACTTTGTCATCCTAGATCTTATGTGTTATGTGAGTACTATTAAAAAATTATTACTTACTCTCCATATTTGGCATCAGACGATTTTTCCAACAAAGGCATTCCTGACAAAAACATAATAATTAGAGTAGTAAAAATCGGAGACATTATAGAAACCCATTCGACCCCCTCGAGTACATTAAGACATATTGTAAAAATCCCCCACCATAAAAGTATTTCCCCAAAATAGTTGGGATGTCTCGATAGTCGCCAAAGGCCTAAAAACAAATACATTTAGTAAATATTTAATTTTAAATAACTTTTACTAGATTTCATACCATCATTGCACCACTTTCCTTGGTTAACAGGATCTTGTCTAAAAGAGAACTTCTGTAAATCTGCATATGTTTCTGCCAATAGTCCAATAACAAATAGACACGTTCCTGTTGTGTCAAGGGTGGTCATTGTTTTAGGAGCTGGCGGAATCGAATGTCTGGGAGAATTTATAACTATTACTGGAAGACTTACGATATAAACCCACACAGCCTATAACCAAACACGAATGGTATAATAAAAATTACCATTTACCTCTTAATATTTAAAACTTCTTTTCTAGATTTTAATTTTTATAAATACTTGGGTAGGTAATAAAAATTGAAACAATTTAACATTAATCATTACTAACCAACTAGTCGGGCTGACTTCTAATATGAAAAAAAAAAAACGAACAAACAGACACACGAGTGATCCTATAAGGGTTCCGTTTTTCATTAAGACGTTCGGAACCCTAAAAATGAAAAAATTAATCTGTACCTACGAATTATCGAATTCAAAAACGGAGATATGGCATCGAAAATAAAATTGAATAACATATTTTACCATTACTTCTATTTGAACATCTCACTTCCTTTAAATAACCATTATATTATTACTTACTTATTTTTATTACCTTTATTATTATTACAACCGTTTATCTAAAACTTTTATGAACTTTAAATATATATACGTACAACTAATATATACAAAAATAACAATGAGTTTAAGAACAATTATTATAGGTTTGATATTACTATTTCTACCCTCATAAAAGTCAAGTTGAAAACAATACTTTGTTACCACTTACTCAGCTTTACTAAATATTGTGAATAGACATTCTTATTAAAATATTTGTATAGAAGATTGAAAACAATCATATACAATGGAGCCTTTCGTTATTTGACCTTAAAATTTCTGTAAGGAACATGATTAGAAAATCTAAAATTGTATAACATATTGATTCAGAAATTTACGCGAAGATTAAGTTTAAATAGTAAAACATACGAAAAATATGTAAAATATAATCATAAACCTATTATAATTATTTTATATTTAATTTTCTGATGTGGTATTCAAAGTTTGAACGTAAATGATGTTTATTTATACGCAAGAGTTTCAGAACTATTTACCTGAAATGTCCAAAAAATGGCAAACCTGATGACGTTGCTTCTTTTATCTTCGAAACATTTATCTCGTCCTATTTTTAAAATTCTATACAACAAATACGCAGACAGACGAGCGCCCCACAAACAAATAAATATCGTCACCATTAATTGTCGACTATCATATTGTTTCTAAAAAAACGCAAGAATTAAGAATTAAAAACATATTTCTTACTATAAATAATCCATTATACAATGCCGGATTTACAATTTACAAAATTTAATGGGCGTAAAAATTCTAAGAACAAAATTTTAGAAGCGAGAAATATTTCACAGTTTG